AAACCGGGTACCCCGAACATCCAGGTCAGTGATTTCTCGGCCCGTGTCCCGACCCGAATGTCCCGGGTACCCCGAATACCCGGATTTTTTTTTCAAATTATTAAATAAAAAAACACACAAATTTAAATGTTCGAAACTTCAAATTACATAATCCAACATCGAAACACAAAATTTAAAAGTTCGAAATACAAACATTTAACCTAAACACATACACTGAGTACAAATGTGGTGCAAAATCCATGGTGACAGCACACACTTTCACATGATCAATCCTTTTCCAGTGATTGGTTAGAATTTTGTACAGAGAGGGATGATGATGATGATGCCTTGGAGAAGAAGCTCAATGACGAGTGATGACAATTACTGTGTAAGTAGCTACCCAGCTAGCTCTTAACTATAGGGAGATGTTGTTGTAAGGATGTAATTGCAGAGTTTAACAGAAATTTATAGTCATAAACTCATTTTAGTTTACCATTTTTATTTTCACTTTTTTTTTTGTGTTTGCTTCTTCATGCACCTTAGTTGATATCAATGGTGATTTTAACTTCCAATTTTCAAGTTGTTGCAGAGATAAAAATGACAAATGATCTGGGAATAGCCTTTTACATCACCATATACTGCACAGTCTTCCTCATATCGAAGATCGTTCTTATGATCCTCCTTTACAAGCGATGGAAAAGAAAGAACGCCATTTATGAGCAAGGCTTCTCAGGTGGGAAGATGGTGATGTTCAGATCCCCATTGTTGCAGTCACTAACATCTGATATGTTCTTAAAGAGCACATTGAAATTAACCAACAACGACATCATCGACGCCGGTGGGTACGAAACCGTTTACAGGTTAATGATAAACGAAACCATGGTCTTCGCTGTAAAAAGGCTTAACAAAGGAACTGCAGATCGCTGTCAAAACATGTGTCCGTTTTGAAACTTAACCGGGTACTCGGGTAACCGGTACCCGGAAAAATCATTTTTTGTGACCCGGGCCCAACCCGGAAACTGTCGGGCCGGGTATCCGACCCGGCCGGGTAATTTTTTTAAAGAAAATTACTCGATTTTTTATGATCCAGGTCGGCATTTTGCACACCCCTAGTGCAAGTTGCCAATAATATGAAAATTTTGGGATTTAAGTGAAAATGGATTAGAAGTCGAAGAGTAATGTTTAAATGTTTGAGTATATTTTTGGATGCTTAGAATTGAAGTCAAATGGAAAATGAATATTTAGAATAAATTGGAAATGTTGAGAAGAAATTCTAAAAGAATTTATTTATTATGGTTAGCATTGACGTTTTGAAATGGATGTAGTATCGAATAAATATTGACATAATTTTTATGAATTTTATTAATAGATTGTGTCTATGTAGTAAGATACTAATATGTGCTTTGGAATGTATGTGATATATTAATGATGAACATGAAGATCGAGATCAAAGAAAGCTAGAATCGCTAAATAAGACATTTCCATGTGAGTGCTTTCTTATTGACCAATGCATTTTTATTTTATATTATTCTACGAGGCACTTTGTGTGCAATTCTATGAGGCACTTTGTGTGCAATTCTACGAGGCATTCTGTGTGCATATTCTACAAGGCACTTTGTGTGTAATTCTACGAGACACTTTGTGTGCATATTCTACGAGACACTGTGTGTGCAATTCTACGAGGCACTTTGTGTGCATATTCTATGAGGTACTTTGTGTGCACATATTATACGAGGCACTTTGTGTGCAATTCTACGAGGCATTTTGTGTGCATATTCTAAGAGGCACATTGTGCGTATATTCTACGTGGCACATTGGTTCTGTGTTCTTCAACACTTGTGCATTATAAGTGAATGCCTGTTTGACTCGTATACATGCTACAAAGTAAATGGAGTGAGTGCACCATACCATAAAATGAATAAATGAGAATTTTAGTTGAAGTAATATAAAAATGAAATAGTCTGTTCAATTTGATATGAAAGTAAAGTTTTATGAAGAACTCTGACTTGACTTAAAACATTTCATGAAGAATCTTCGAATCATAGATATTCTTATATTTTATACTTAGGTGATACTTTGATAAATATATTTTATTACTGCTATTAATTTTTATTTTTATTTATATTTTATTTTATTTTATATTTTATTATTATTTTATTTATGTTATTAATAATAGAACTTATAGCCTCACTAAGTGTATACTTAACGTGTAATGATTTTCACGCGTAGGAAAATAAAAGCATTCGGAGTAAGGAGCTAGGGCCAACGTCAACCTTTGAATATCAGATCCACTCCAGAATCAGTATGACATCTTTTTAAACATTGATAGTACTAGTTGGCATGTATACTAAATGGTTATGATACTTAAAAGTAGTTGTGTTCCAATTTGATTTATTTAGATGGTACATAATATTACTAATTATGAATAATGATTTGTTGATTACTATTTAGATAAGTGAATTTAATTACCATTGAATTGAAATATTTTAAGACCTTAGACAATAATTGAATTAATTTAGAAAGAAACAAAATTTTACTGATTCTTAAATAAGAACTGTACTGAAAGAATTATGTAATGTCTTGGACCCGAATGTGGTAACATATACTATAAATGGGTGTTACATGGTCGTTTTGATTCATTTTTATGCTAAAACTTATTTTCCAAAAAACAATATTAAAAGGGATGAGTTCTGCAGTTTTTTTATTTTTTGGAATCGTGGCTGGAAACATGGTCATGACCTGAGGCATGATTATTTCCGACGTGACAGTTTCCAAAAGGTCCAGTTAATAACAAGAGCAATTTCTAGAAGGTCCAGTCAGGGTTATCTAGAAGGAAGACAAACAAAAATCATTTAGGAATTACGTTTGAATTTGAAACAAATACTTTGGATTTAGCACATTATTATTTGAAATTTTTCTTTTAGTTATTTTTATGATTATCTTTAGGATATTTTATTTTATTTTAAATTTTCTTTTATCTTTAAGAAGATTATCTTTTGTAATTCTCTAGGCTATAAATACCCCTTAGGATAAAGTTTGAGAATGTATTTTTTTTCTTTAATTTTATAAAATTCTAGGATTTTTATCTTTCTTTAGTTTTCTTTTACTTTCTTTTTAAACAAATACCAAGTATGATTTAGATCATGTTTAGCTAAACTTTTTATTAACCAAAGGCCTAAGCGATGACTCATTTCTGTTGTGAGAATTGAAAAGAATGTAATATCTTCATATAATGTTCTCGATTTACTGAAATCTTGATTTGACAATCGGCCTTTTCTTTAAAATCTTTATACTTTCATTTGAAAAAGTCGATATTGATTTGAATATTGTTTGGATTTACAGTTTGGAATAAAGAATTGGTTGGTCATAATTCAACTTCCTAGGAATAAACTTAACGGCGGTTTGCTAAGGTGAATCGAGATCGAGTTCGATTCTCATTGAGACACCATAATTATAGGATGATCTTTTCTAGCGCTTAAAGCTTCATTTTACTAACGACAATAGCTATGGTTAGTTTAAGTAAGAATTGAATTTCATAGATAAACTTGAGAATATTGGTTAAATGAAGAGAAAAGTAAGTTACAAGGTTGAGCCTTGTAGACCATAACCTGTAAAATATGTTGATGATCAATGGGAAAGGCAAAACAAGCATGAGATTGTTTTTATCCATTTGATTTTCTTTTAAAATTTTACTTTATTTACTTTCTTCTTTCAATTCTTGAATTTTTCCTTTTTAATTTTAAATTCCCTCCTCTTCTTTATTTTTCTTTTTAAAATCAAAACAAATCAATATCAAAAGTTTCAAAGTGTATGTGGATCGACATTTCTTCTCTTTATTACACTTTATTTATTTTTGTGAATAAAAAATATTATTTGACGATTATGACCCTTGTGATTTGGCTAAAATATTAAGGTGTTACTGCTAGGACTTCCCCGAAGTGCGACTTTTGAGGATATAGAGCATTTCCTTTCTGGTTGTGGCTATGACTCGTCCTAAATCCAAACGTTTACGTTGACAAGATTTGGATCCACCAACGTTTTCAGATTAACAAATGTGCATTTTCCCTCTCATATCCAAGCAATGAATGCATGCATTAGCAAAAGTCTCAATTATCAAATCTCTACTAAAAGTTCAGTTGTGTTGGGGTTTCCCATTGAGATTGACCACCACAGTGGCCGGCTTCCAGTGATTTTCTTTCCCTCGAAAAATTCAGTTGGATGCAGGCTCTAGAATTGCAAATATAAATATACGGATCGAGACTCGTTTGAATGACTTGGCAATGGGTACTTCTCCCTTGCCCAAAAGCTCCGGAATCATTTGTGCGGATCCAGCAATGATTGTAGTACATGAAACTACATTTTTTTTTTACAGGTATTTCTTCGAATACCTTACAAACCTTCTCCAACTCCCCGGACCTTCCATAGAAAGTAACCGAAGAACGTCTACCATAAACGTGTCCCCAGTTTTTATTGTTAAGCAATGATACTGAATCCACCATGAAGGACCCACGTGAACTTATAGCATTGACAGCACAACTGGATTAAATGTAGGAAATTTTCAGTTGGTGAATCTGAATAACCCGGCAAATCTTTGAAACAATTTTGGGGGTAAATTGATCTGAATTTGTTTCTAAAAACCCTTGGATGAGACGAAGATGGTTTTGGGTTATTCAGATTCACCAACACAGTTTCTTCAATGAAATTCTAGAGGCTCCGCTTCTCGATGTTTTCTTTAATTTGTTTGTTTTAGTTCGTTAGAAGAAAAAGGACTGGGATCGACAAGAGATTTCAAAATGAAGCACGATCTCCTTTGGAATATATTCATGGCTGAGAGCAATTCATGAATGCTTTTCGTGTAAAAACCACCGAACTCGAGTTGACCCAATCAACTCATGAATTAATGTAAAATTATTTGAATTTGAAACCAAAAATTTAAAAATAAGAGTTGTTTCCATCCAACCCAAACTGTCCAAATCTAAAACCGAACATAACAGGAACATCCACAAACACTTTGTTTTAAGATGTTCATATTTGTTCACTTGGCCTAACTCAAAAAATCATAACTCAAGACTACAGAAGAGATGGTATTTAGCTAATATAAGGCGCAAAAAAGCTGCAACTCTATGTAACATACATTCACGGGACTCATCGTTGCCTCCTTCGTTTCTTTGTCGAAAAAGTAGCATCGTACTCAAAATCGTCTTCTTCTCTTTCCCCGTGTAAATAGAACCATAACTTCTTCTCCACGTTGAATCTCACGCATGGATCGTGTTCATAATGTAATCGATCCAAGGCGCCACTGACAACTTGATTGAGTTGTTCATCGGAGACTTCTTCCACGATGTATTGTGAGTCTCTTACAAGGACACAAACGTCGGCTCTAGTGCCCATATGGTCTGGCAATCGGGCAGCTGCATCCCTCACGAGAGAGAGGACAGTGATATTCGGTGGTCTATCTGCTTTAAGCATAAAATGTTCTCTGCATTTCGATGATGGCTTGCCGCTACACCTTCGTAGTGGAGCAACTGTGGATTTTCTACCATCTAATGCAGTGTAAGAAAAGGCCCTCTCTGGAACAAAGTATCTAACAGCTTCTTCCTTTCTGAAATAATCTCTTATTTCTTTGGGGTATTGACTGATGGTAGCTACAGTTTTTCGAGGACGGACTTCTCTTAATCTTTCCGTTACATTGACAGACTTATGCATCAATGTCAATGGTGGTGCAGGAAGGCTTCCAATCTTTTGAAGAGACTCTTGAGCAATTTTCAACCAATCTGCAAAGCAGTTGGCTAATTTCAGAACTGTCCTGCTTGGAAGACCCCAAGCTTCGGACGATAAAGCTTCTTTCAAATCATTGTGTGGCTTAATAGATAATGGACCGATCCAGGACCAACACTTGTCACACTTGGAATAGACAGTGAGAGCCTTCCAGCCCTTTCCACCAAGGGGTGCTGTTGTTGACGAAAATATAGCAAGAGCACCTCGAACCAACTCCTGAAGTGGCTCCTGAGCTTCGAGAACGCAAGGATCCCCTGGATTCAATCTGACTCGCTCAACAATTTCAGACATGGTGAGACAGTGGTATCCGCCAATGCTTTCAGGATTGTTTTTAGCAGAATTGTTGCTTGATGCTGAAGGTTCATCTTTTGCATACGGAGTAATCATTGCAGTGCGAATGGAAGAAAGGAAATGAATGATGGAGAACGAATTCCCCGGGTGAGCAGCGGGGCATCTTGAACCAAATTGCAAATTCTCAAATGGTTTCGGGATCAAGCCTTTCAACCCTTGAACACTATTTTCAACCTCTGATCCTCCAAAGGAACCAGGTTGAGCTTTCACTTCCTTTAAACCACATTTCCCCAAGGAAGATTTACACGGTTTCTTTCTCTTCAAAGAAGAAATTGGCAGTTCATTTTCATCAAGGACCTTTTCAGTGTTGATGCAAATATATCTCTGTCCTGCCGTCTCTTTCAGCTTCAAATTCAATAAGCTCGACCCATTCATCCCGAATTTTCTAACATCATCGTTGTTCATACATTCACCGCCAACTTTCGTTCTGGTCCGGTTTTGCTGACCTAGACAGGTTCCATTTCTCGCTGGTGATTGCAACTTAGTCTTAAGCAAACATAAACGATCGTTTGATAGTTCCATCAGAGTTAAAGCTGCTTCTATATCTCCCTCGATAAGTTTTATACCATCTGTGATTTCAACGCCGCTGTCGCCGTCGGTTGTGGCCATTGTCGCACTATTAGCTTCACTGGAAACATTAGAATACTGAGCTACATTTTTCTTGTAACAAAGGTCCCCCATTGAACCCTCAATATCAGGGTACTTTACACTTTGAAACGAAGATGTCCATATATGATCCTCTTTGCCGTGTTTCTTAGGGTTCAAGGCCAGCATTTCTCCTTCATTAACCATCAAATTTGATCATCAACATCTAACTCGGAGAATCAACACAATCAATTAAAAACAATAAAGATTTCAAAGTGAAAAACACAGAAAAAAACATCCTTTTGGCAAAATAAGATAATTACAAGAAATGCAAGACCAACAAGCATCCGATTAAAACCCAAATATAAAATCTAAAAAAAGGAATACCTCTGATTAGATCAACCTTTATTTAACATTATCTTAGACTCCATTGCTGATCCAGTATACTTTCCTTCATTTTAAGACAATGCTACCGAGCATATAAATATATATGATCAAAGACTAATGACAAAGATAATCTAAATGTAGACGAGAATCTTAAATAAGCAAGCAAAAAAAATCAGTTTCTTGTTTTTTTTTCAAGAATTGGATTATTTGTGGAGAACTTGGAAATATTTATATATTTGTGAATGTTTTGGACCGTTTTCAGAAGCACCGAGTGTTATTGGAAACTAAAAACAATGATCAAATCAGTTTAACAGTTGAAAAGGTTTTACCTCAATATAGTTTTCTCAAGAAACAGAAAGGAAAATCAGGGATTCACTTGAAGCAACGTTGAGAAAGCCCTTTGGAGGAAGAAAAGTAGAGATGAGGGAAGACGAAGAAGCGTGGTTATATGTATTATATTCGAGACGACGCCATTTTGAACAATTCTGTGTCGTTTTGAAGTGGAAAATTGACTCGGGAAAAGGGGGTGAGTGTCAGCCTTGGACGCCCATTTGGAAGTTTGCTTTGTGGGCTTATCTCTTTATCAGCTACAGTTTTTTTTAATAATATAAGGTGATTATGATATAATATAGATCATACATTTATTATCTAAATTGTTAATTTTAGTCAATTATAATATCTAACTTTTTAATTTTTTTTAAATTATATGTAATTTTTTTATTTTATTTTAGTATTCTCTTTCAAAATTTAACATTAATTTTTTAAAACAATTTGAAAGTTTATGTACTAAAACAGACTAAAATTGATAGTTTAGGTGATAAAGACGTTAAATTTGTAACAAGATATTAAAATGAAATAAAACTAAATTCTAAGTATGATTGTGAAAAAATTAAAAGTTTAAGTACTAAAATAGATCAAAATTGATAGTTTAGATCCTAAATGTGTAATTTACCTTATAATATATAGTATTTATTTTTTAAAAAATTAATCATTAACAATATATATATTTTTCTAGATGAAATTGTTCAAAATCAAAATTTCTAAAAAATTTATATTTATTTTATCATTGAAGTCATGGATTCTTTATTTTGAGTGGTGGTGGTGGTACACTCAAATCGAAAATTTGATTCAATTAATTTTAAATAATTAATTTTATTATTATTTTCACATTAAATTTTAGAATAACTTTTTTTTTAATTTTAATCCAAGCAAACTAAATCGATCCACACTCACTTTGTTCAAGTGAATTAAACATACCGGCTTTGAAGACCCATTAGCCTTCTGACGTATACCTTTAAAGGTGTAGTTTAGCACTCTCATTCACAATCCATCTTAGGATTATGTGTAGGACTCAGCTGCATTTTAATTAGGGGGTGTAAATGAACATAGTATTCGGTGAACTGTTCGTATAACGTTCGTTTATTAAGCTAAATAAATGAGTATGAACAAAAAATTTTCGTTCGTATAATAAACGAACGAACACAATCAAATGTGTGTTCGGTTAGTTTATGTTCACAAACAAGGTCGTTTATATATTCATGAACAAGCTCATTTAGAAGCTCGTTTATATGTTCATGAACATGCTCGTTTATAGGCTCATTTAATTTTTTATATTTTAAATATTAGTGAAATTACATACTAAATTGAATACATGGTAAAATATAGATTTTAAATTATAAAGTCTAAGAAGTTTAAGCACCAATTATATAAATTTACAATTTTCTACACAAACATCTTTTCCCGTGCTCTTATCTTCTACAGTTATTTTTTCCTTCTTTTTGATAAAAGTTAGAGGTCTTATTAAAAACTCCCTTCGCATTCTTCCACATACTAAGAAGTATGTTGAAGAAAATTAGAAGGAAGAAAAGAGTGCCTCATAATTTATTAAATAGAACACACATTACATGTGAAAACACAAAATACCCTCATACGAGGATATACACCATTACAAAAAAAACCATATTACCTAAAAATCTACCATCTTCAATCACAAAGCCCCAAAGACAATAACCCTATGTCTAAAATAAACCTCAGTCAAAATGAAAAAACCAACGCAAAAGATCATAGCATAACAGAAAACCAATACTGTCAACAATGAAAACAAAAAGAAACGCTTTTACATAGAGCTCCAGAACAATTACGATCCAATTGAAGGAACCAGTTCTAATGAATCATCGCAAACTTCAGGGACCCAAGAATTTAGTTTGAAGGAAGGATCAATTTCATGCACCATGATTTTGAAGGAATTAGTATCGACTTTCAACTCCAACGACTCATCAATTCTCACTTGAGACTTTATGAGTATTTGAATTTTAGCCCGATCAAAAGACGATGGAAACTCGCAGCTGTCGTCGATTGCTAATAGTTTTCCCTACTTAGCTGCAATGTTTTTGAAAGTATCCCAATTCCAAGCGTGAAAAAGAATCTCTTTGCAAACTAACCACACTCGACGACACTCCACCACCAGACTCTCTGACCAAGTTTCAACTCCGGAAAACCAGTTTGCAAGAGTCTCTAATTTTTCATTCTTCACAACTCTCAACGAAGCAGAGTCTTCAAAAACCATTAGAACTACATTTCCACCAGCTCTCATTAACATGAAACCAATGAGTCCTTTGGCTAGCAAGATTACCGATTTTGGTAAAGTTCTTGCACCAACCCACCAGACAGTTACTCAACATGTGAAGTTTATCTTCGTCCACAACACCCTTAACTTTACAGTGTTTAATCCTTGAAACAACTTCCATCCCAAACTTATGTTGAACAACTATCGAGGACTTTCTCCAATAAGACTGTCGAGGATTATATTTGGCCAAAGAGATATTAATTTTGCTGCCGTAAATATGAGAACCATTCATCTTTGATATCGCTTTCCTTGCTTCTTCAATTGTTGCGAAGCGAATGAACCCAAAAAAAACCCCTATGGAATTTCTTTTGTTAGGAATGAAGACATTAATTACATGACCGTGATTACAGAATAAAGATCCAAGTCTCTTCCAATGGATCTTCTCTGGTAAGTTTTCAATGAATAACGTGAAGCATCCACTTCTGTACCCATTCCTAACATTTGTATGACCTTTCTTCCACCAATTATTAAAATCGATTCTCCTAATTCTCACTTCTTCACCAGGCTTGTTACCAGAACACCCCTTTGTGGTTCCAGCATGGACAACATCTTCGGCAAGTTGAGCTGTTGATGCCTCTACTAAAGGTAGATTTACATTCCCATAATTCCTTCGTTGAGAAGGAGACATACCTTCAGGCCTAGATTTATTAATCGCCTTTTTGCTGCAAAAAAAAAGTCTCCTTATTCCCTGATGGAAAGTCCATTCAGGATCTCCTTATAAACCTGTCGCGGATGGAACTATCACGGCTCCCAATTTTGTAATCCCTTCTGTCAAAACGGTCCCTATCACCAAAGCGTCTGCCATCATAACGATCATCTATGTACCGATCACGATCTCTGAAACGATCACCATGGTCATCAATGGCAGTGCCTCTGTATCTTGAACGTGAAGAGAACATGGCGCCACTTCCACCTCGGCAACCACCATCTGGAGGACAATCACGGGCCCAGTTCCTAAAGCACCCACAATTGAAGCATTCATCATGTGCAACAGAACTGTCTCCACCTGCATAGCGACCCCTACGACTTGATGCGTAACTTCCTTTATAGCCATGATCAAGATCTTTACTCATCTTGGGTTGAGCCTTATTCACCGAGATTGTACGCTCTCCCAAGTCTCGCTTATGCATCTCCCTGATAGCTTCATCCATGGACCGGCGATATGAAAATGTAATAAATCCAAATCCACGAGATCTTTATGTATCTTTGTGCACCATGATATGAGATTCAATAATTTTTCTGAACTAACTAAACGCATGCTCAAGCTGTCACTCAGTGATATCCTATGATAATCCTCCGACAAATATTTGGTTCTCTTATTTCCTTGCCATCCTTTACAAACAATTCTTCTTTCTTCTTTGAAAACCTCTCTCTCTTTTGGCTTCGTGGTAGGCTCTTGAAACTCTAAACCAAGACTCGAGGACATGTTTTTTCAGCCCCAAGAGCTTCATTAAATTCTAGACAAGTGCATCAACAAAACAAAACCGCAAGCTCTGCCCCACAAATAGCCTTGTAGTCTCGTCGGTCAACGATTGTCGTAGGTGGCAACTGGCACGGCGTCTCTAGACTGTGACGACGGAAGAGAATAACATAAAATTTGGAGGAAAGGGCACTTGTTCTTGCCGAAACAGTTCACTACAATTTCATGGAGAATAGGACGGTGGGAGGCGACGATAATCGGCAGTGAACAACTTGTAGATTTGTGCCGATTGATAGAATTTATGACAAATCTAAGTCCAAATTTGGAACCACCATGGGCAGATGATATTCCCAGGAAAAAATAGCGTCAAACGGAGTTCGGAGTATAGCGGCGGACGGCTGGCAGTGGACAACGACTGGATGACGGTGGATAAAAAAAATTTAAAAAACGCCTGGGCTCGGGGCTCTAAAGTGAAGCGCTCACATGCCAAAGTAAAAAAAGTTTGGTTTTTTTTACAAGATTTTTTTGTGTGTTTGTAAGATTTTCGAGTTTTGCAGCAGTTCAAGGTATATAATCAATCCATATCTCTTTCCTTTCTTTTTTTCTTTTTTAGCTAAAGAAATGGAACCAAACCCTAGGTTTACTCGCTTAATATGTTATAGTTGCTTCTATATGTTCATTATCCTCTTTCATACTTCTAAACTATACGATTACATTTTGTGGTCTTTTTGTTTATTAGACAAAGTGTTTAATTCGTCCATATGTATGATTTTATTGATAGTATTTGAGGCTTGAGTAAAAAATCAGGGTTGTTTTTACTTGGAAAGTAGCATGGTTAATGACAGTCATTTACAAGTTAAACTACCTGTCAAAAACCCTGTTATTTTAACGTAGGATGGGAAATTCTTACTATTTAACTCTGTGATTGGTCCATTATACTTTACTCGAAGAATAGGCTTGGAATTCCAAGATTTGAGCAAACTATACTTTCTGAGATAAAAGAGGTTGTGTGATTAAGACTTTCTAATGTAAAATTTAGGCTTGTGTATTATGTTCATATATAACTAAGCTTAGCATGGGTGTAACACGAAGGGGGGATTAGACTTGTAAATGGTTACTATATAACTGACTATATTGTTGGATTGTGGAATTATTTGCTTTTCATATAGAAAAACGACATTGATTCAATCTTCTGTTAACATTTTTTGCCTCTTTGGATGATGCAGTTGTTTCAATAATCTATTTTGGAGATTTGAAACTAATCTTCTTCGAGAGTTGCTTCTATTTAGTTTAATTTGGATTTCCTTTCCTATATATAAATTGGTTTAATTTAATCGTACCCAATTTCGTTCTTATATTTAAATTAATT